CCACGCCCTGGGTCCCACGCAGCTGACAGCAGAGTGGGCAGGGCCCACACGGTGCAGACGCTGGTGCGTCCAGGCAGAAAGGTACTCAATGAGTTTACGGCAGAAATGAAAAGAAAGAAACTATTCAATGCCAACAATGATAAAGACAAAAAGCAGTTTTATTTGTAAACGGTTCAGAGGGGAAGAAAACGAGGAAGTGGGCGAGAGGAGGTCGGGGATGCAAATGAGGCCCCCAGACTCCAAGTAAACAAAGAACCAGAGGAAGTGCTGAAGGCAGGAAGATGGGGGGGGTCCACTCCCAGCCAGCAGCAGGACCAAGGTCGGGGTGATGGGCACCCAAGGCTGTCCCTGGAGGAGGAAGCATGGCCAAGTTCAGGCTCCCAGGCCACCGCGCTCACTGAGAGGCCGAGTTCCTCCCGGCCCTGTGACATCCCTCATCCCACCCTGAAGCCCACAGAACAAGCTACCCAGTCTAAGAGGTTCTGAATGAGGAAATGGACCATGGAGGAGGGGCCACCACCACACTGACCACGACTGGGGAAGCAGAGGGCCCAGACCTACCCTCCCTCCAGGCCTGCCCTGGGGCTGGGGGGACGTAGCTCCCACAGGACACTGCTGCACCCAAGTCACACGGGGGTGGGGCCTGACCTGATGCGCCTGCTTCAGCTCCCTGTCCCTCTCACGGACCACCCTTCCTGGCGAGTGTCGCCACAACAGGCCAGTGCATGGTGTTCCTACCAGGCCCAGTCTGTGGGAACAGGGGTTTTGTGCAGGGCCAGGAGAATGGGAGACTGTGCGAGTCTCTGCAGAGAGCATCCCTGCTCCGTGCTGCCCAAAGCCACCAGCCCCTTTTCCCTTGTGGGACTCCCGTCTCCAGGCGTGGGGCCGGTGGGGACAGCGAGGGTTGGGGGAGCCCCACGCCACCCTTGCTCTCACTGCTGCCAGCAGAGGCTGGGAGGGGAGACGCGGGGCAGGGAGTGAGTGGGGGGAGGGACCTGGGGTGTTTCCCCCACACGTGATGATGGTTTGAGGACATGGCTGAGCCGACCTCACGTGTGGCTCCATGAACACGGACAGCTTTGAGGGGTCAGTAAGCAGACCTCCCCTCCCCTGGCCAGAAAGAAAAAAAAAAACAAACCTGCCTCTGGGAGTGATCCACCAAGAGCCAACAGCACCAGGGACCAAACTGGTCGCTGTCTCCCCTCCTCCTGGACAGGAGCCCACACCTGACCTCCATGAACTCTGCTCGCAGGAGGGCTCAGGGCACCTGTTCCCTGGAATCACGGGATCCAATGTGTGGCTTCTCCAGCTCAGAGAACTGTGTCCCAGCTCACGGCCTCTCCTGCCTGGACCAGGGTCCCCAACCCTGCCTAAGCCCAGCCTGGGACCTTCTGGACTGCACATTCAAGCCAGGACCCCTCCCCCACCCAGGTACAGTGGGCATTGGGGAGATGGGCTGATAAACAGGACCCCAGGAGAGGTCAGCCCACTGCTGCAGGCCAGGGCCAGAAAAGGGAGGTGAACAGGGTGGGAGCTGCCAGCAGGAACAGGAGCAAGGGGGGCAGGTGTGGGGGTGGGGCACAGGGGCAGCTGAGTGCCTCCCAGGGAGACCGGCTGACACCCTCACAACCCTCTGGGGTCTGATCCTGACCACACCTGTCCCACAGGTGGGCCAAGGTTCTGGGGCTGGGATTCGACCTGACCCCTGGCCACACTGTCTCCAAGACAGGGCCTGTGGAGCCGCCCAGGGATGAGTTTCCTCCTCCCAGGATATGGTGCTGAGCCCTGGCCAGCACCCTGTGAGCACGAGGGACAGCCCTTCCCCTGGCCTGGCCCCCAGGCCCCACACCCGACCCTTCCCCGGGGGCCCTGGGATGGGAGGGCTGCTGGGGCAGAGGCCAACTCACAGGCATGGACGTCCACCTTGCACCTTCTTCTAACCAAGATCTATTTGTTAAATCAGAACCTCAGGGCCGCCACTGTGCCATAGCAGGTAGACCCACCGCCTGCAGCACCAGCACCCTGCATGGACACTGTTCTAGTCCTGGCTGCTCCACTTCCAATCCAGCTCTCTGCTCATGGACCTCGGGAAGCCACGGGGGATGGCCCAGGTGTTGGAGCCCCTGCACCCATGTGGGAGACCTGGATGAAACTCTGGGCTCCCAGCTTACGCCTCGCCCAGCCCTGGCTGCTGTGGACATGTGGGGACTAAACCTGCAGACAAAAGCTTCCTCCCTCTCTCTTTCTTCTCCTATCTCTCCTTCTGCAAGACCTATTATTTTTAAGAGAAGAGTGATATGGTGAGAAATTTGGCCCAGCCTCCTAAACCCTCAGGAACGGGTCCTTGGGCCCCCGTCATGTGCGGGCACACCAACAGTGCCCCCCACTGAGGGCCATCAGGGACCCAGCTGCATGTTGCCTTATACTTAGAGCGGGTCCTGGAACTCCCGGGAAGCGGCATCCGAGACGCCCAGACGGGGTGTGGCTCCGGGAGCCGGGAGCCGGTCTATGAGCGGCCCGGGGTGGACACGCAGAGGTGACTGCGAGCAGATGAGCAGGACGACAGCCATGCCAGGTTGCCCCCCGGCTTTTATTAATGGCGTACTATGTCCAGATAAGTGGATCCCCAAGAAGCTACCAGGACCCGATCACACAGAAATGCAAAAGCAAGGTTTATTTGGAAGTACAAGCCGCGGCAGGGACCTCGTCTGACCAGCTACGCAGCGGAGGTCAGAGGAAGGCCCAGCCTTTGTTTGGGAGCACTTTTAAAGGAAAAACCAAGGGTTACATCAGCGGGGGCTTACAGCACGGGGCTTTGGTGACTGGACGGGGCTGCTCCGGGTTGCTCTCAGCTGAACGGGTTGGGGGGGTCCTCCGTTTGGCCTAGGGTCAGGGAGTTACCTCGTTTGTAACCTCTATGAGCTACCCTTGGTCTGCTGAGCTGTCCCTGTTCAGCTTTGCTATCTCTGGAATGCTGGATGCCTGCTTTTACAAGGACTCGGGTCTGCTGCGGGAAATGGAGGCTGCTTTTTCTTTTAATTTTTTTTTTTAATGGAGTCATTTTGGCTCTTCAGGTGGAGAACCCGTTCCCTTGAGGCCGCACCCGTGCACGCAGCGCCCCTGGTCTGCACCGCGCGGGCTCTTTCATTCACCAGGGCCAGGCCCGCAGGACACAGGCAGATGCAGCCAAGGCCCTGTAGGTATAGCTTCACTGTGGCTCTGGAGGGGTGGGGGCGGGGACAGGGGCGGGGCCAGGGCAGGACTGGCTCTGAGCTGCCAGAGCAGGCCCAGTGCCAAGCCTGAGGTAAAGGCTCAGGGGGAAGCTGCCCGGGCCCCACCCGAGTTCAGGTTACCGGGGATCAGGTCGGGGTCGCTGCAGCTGAGCTGCCGGAAGACGATGTTCCCTATCTTGATGTTTGGCGTCGACAGGAGCCCGCAGAGGTCGTCGGTGATGTCGGAGCAGCCTTTGACTCGGAGCTTGAAGTTCTCTGTGTTTCTGGTCCCTAGAGGCGGGGGCACCTGAGCTCCACAGCCCAGCAGGCGGCACCAGCACCCAGCCAGCTGCATGGCCAGGGCTGCGGGGCTCAGAACTCGCCTGCCCCTCCAGGTCAGCCATCAGGTCCCTAACAGACAGGTGCGGCCGACCCAAGGTAGACAGGCAGGCACCCCTGCCTCAGCCAGGAGGACCAGCCCTGGGTCCTCCTCATCCAGGCCGGGCCCAGAACCCATGCCTCTCTGGAGCAGAGTGCTACCTGCCTCAGTTTCCCCTGAGCAGAAGCAAAAGCAGCCAGAAGGGACGCGGTAACCACATGCAGACAGAGCAAGAACGAGGGCCGGGGAGCAGGGAGCAGGGCGCCAGCCCTGTGGGGAGAGCACCAGAACCTGGCAGGGTGGCTCCTGCCCACGGCCTCCAGGCTGGACACTGGGGGCCGGGCTAGTGTGTTAGGAAGACATGGGATCGAGGATGTTATATGGCCGGTAAAGCCGCCACCTGCAGTGCCAGCATCCCATGTGGGTGCCAGCTCAAGACCCGGCTGCTCCACTTCCTGTCCAGCTCTCTGCTATGGCTGGGAAAGCAGTAGAAGATGGGCCAAGTCCTTGGGCCCCTGCATCCACATGGGAGACAAAAAGAAGCTCCTGGCTCCTGGCTTCAGATCAACTCAGCTCCAGCCGGGCCGGCCAACTGGGGAGTGACCCAGTGGGTGGAAGACATCTCTCTCTGCCTCTCCTATCTGTGTAACTCTGACTTTCAAATAAATAAATAAATCTTTTTATCTTTTAAAAGGAAGAAGTGGACCTGTGCACTTCTCTGTTGCATTTTTAGAAAGTGACCCTGGGCAAAAACAAGTAAAAAAAAAGTTCACATTTGATGGCATTGATCCAATTCAAGCACTACGAGGAAAAAACACCCAGGTCCCTGCAGCAGAGGACACAGGGACAGGACACGCCAAGTCCCCACACCGCCCAGCTCCCAATCCCAGAGGTAAAACCCACAGCAGTGTAGACATCCCAGGGAGGTGAAAGCACAAAGAGCCATGCCCACTGGGATTCCCAGTGTTCCAGGAAATACTTGAGGAGCTGGGGATGGGGGCTGCTCTGTGTGACACCTGGGGGCAGCTGTGGGTCCTCCTCCACTGTCCAGACCCCAGAGTCCAGCTGGAGAGAGGCCCCATGTGCACTGAGGACCTGTTGACGCTGAGGCCAGCTGGGCAGACCACTGAGAAATCCAGGACTGCAATTAACATCCATGCCTGATGCCCACATGGCCCTGGGGAAGCCTGCGCCCCCTGCTGGTGAGGAGCAGACCTGCAAGGCTCTGAGCTCTGCAGGACCTGCCCTTGCCAGGGACCCACCCATGAGGGTCCTGGCCTGCTGCTGTGGGACCTGGTCTGCTGTGTAGCCCAAAGAGAACCCATTGCTTTCATCAGAAAGGACGATTGTTGGATTTGGAGCCGAATGTGACACTTCCACCAGGGGCCCCAGTTTGCTAAGACTGACAGGTAGAAGAGTGTAGGTGTGCAGAGGCCACCCCACCCCACCTGTGGAATGAAGCAGCCTGGTGACTGACAGCCAGCACAGGTGGAGGCCCTGGGCCAGCAGCAGGGGAAGCAGCCCTGCCCTGAGAAGGCAGCCCTGAGACAGCACTGGAGCCTCTCTCCTGCTCACAGGCATCCTGGCCCCGTCCCCGTGTCAGGCGCCTCCCCCACCTCTCTGTGAACCTGCATCTCAGGACCCCTGGAGGAACTGGATCCCAAGACATACCTTGCACGACTTCTGCAAGCCCATCGACGCACCGTTCATCTGGGTTACACCTCACGAAACTCTCCTCACAGGAGGTGTCGTTAACCCCTATACAACCAGGGCACTGTGTGTCGCCGGTCTCTTCAGTCGGAACGTCTGCAAGGGAAGAGGCCTTATCACGACCATGCTGTCAGGATGGAGCGACTGCATCCTGGCCTCCACACCACCCTGGTCACCACTGAAGACCCAGACCCCCAGGTCTGCCCCGACAGCCCATCCTGTCTCTGAGCCTGTGGGGTAAAGGCTGAGAAGAGAAAGGTGGGTCCAGCCTGTCCCGACTGCTGGTGTCCTGGTGTGTGACAGTTGCTAAATCTGCTGTTCAAGCAGGAGAAGATAAATAAGCCTCATTTTTAAAACACAGGCTATGGACTGCCGGCACTGTAGTGCAGCACGTAGACCTGCCGCCTGCAGTGCCAACATCTCATATGAGTCCCGGCTGCTCCTCTTCTGATCCAGCTCTCTGCTATGGCTGGGAAAGCAGTGGAGGATGACCCAGGCGTAAGGGTCCCTGCACCCATGAGGGAGACCTGGAAGAAGCTCCTGGCTCCTGGCTTCAAATCAGCCCAGCTTAAGCCATTGTGGCCATTTGCAGAGTGAACCAGCGGATGGAAGATTTCTCTCTCTCTCTCTGCCTCTGCCTCTCTGTAATTCTTTCAAATAGATAAATAAAAATTTTAAAACAAACAAACAAACCATGACTTCAGCCCCGAGCAGTGCAGCGGTTCTCACACGGGGGTTCAGGAACCCCGAGCCCTGGGCTCTTCCGGGGGGCTGAGTTAACCACTTCTGGCCAGCACCACACTGCCTGTGCCTCATTCTCTCTCCCTCACAAACACAGGGTGGGGTTGTCCACACGGGAATGCACACACGTGTGAGCCTCCAGCCGTCTCGCATGTGACAACACCACACTCCTCACTGCTGTGTTTATCTGTCAAGTACATGCTGATGGGTAAGGTGCTGCTTGCTATTTTGGGTGAACTAATGCAGGTTTATAAACTTCCTTAGCTGGAATTTCCCAGACAGTAAATACTGACAGGGGGAGTGCACGTAAACCAGAGTTCTCTGGACTCCTCAGTAATGTGGGAGACCTGAGTCCTAACAGGGCCCTGGGATCCCGAAGTCTGAGAACTGCTGGGGAGCGCCAGGTGCTGCTCCCAGGGGAGGCGTGGGCACAGCAGGGAGACCCCTCTGGGGGCGCCTGATCCCTAACGCAGCGCCTGCACCCCCCTAAGTCCTGCTGCACCCTGACTCCAGTTCCTGCTGAGGAGCAGCGTGGAGCAGCCAGTGACGACTCAAGGACTAGAATTCCTCCTGCACCACCACGGGGAGACCTAGATGCTCCCAGTCCTGCCTGGCCTGGCCCCGCCTCTGCTGTTGGGGAATGTGGGCGTGAACAGGCAAATGGAAGACCTCTCTCTGGCTCTGTGTCGCCTGAGATAAAATGAAAATACATGAATACTAAATACATCCCCCCACAGCCTCCCTGTCTGTCCCTGCTGGCAGTGCTGTCTGCCCTGCAGTTCTCATGCCCCTCTGTCAATCAGGTGTGAGTGTCATTCAGATGTGACAGGAGGGCCTGGCCTGCAGGTGGCCCCCAAGGGCAGGGAGCACAGGTGGCCCAGCAAGGGGACCATGGCGCTGGCACTCACCTGGGGGGGAGGGGCTGATGCTATTGCAGGGTCCACCATTGCAGATACGGCTTGACAACCAGGCTGTTTCTCCATCAGCTACCCGGACATAGAAGGATACTAAAGCCTCGATTCTGGTTGTAGACAACAATGCGGCGTCGATATCGGAGCAGGCCAGGTTCTGGAAACCTGTGGGAGGTGAGGCTGCACAGAGACAAACACAGACTGTTAGTCCCTGGGGAGGAGAGGCCGTGGGGACCTGGGACCCTGAAGAGCAGCGGCTTCTGGCCAGCGCACACACGCTCCCCTCAGCGCAGTGCAGGTTTGGACGCAGCGGCGAGGGTTCCTGGGAAGAGAAAGCTGCTGCTCCATCAGCCACACCTGTGCAGCAGGGGAGCAGCAGAAATGCAGGCAGACCCAGGAGAGGGCGGGGCCTACAAGTGGGCGGTCCAAGTGACCGACTGGAGACCACCCGCCAGCCCTAAAATGAGAATAATCGGGGCTGGCCATGTGGGATAGCCGGTAATGCCGTCACCTGCAGTGCCAGCATCCTATATGGACGCCAGTTCAAGTCCCGGCTGCTCCACTTCCAATCCAGCTCTCTGCTATCTGTGCCTGGGAAAGCAGTAGAAGATGACCCAGGTCCTTGGGCCACTGCACCCACATGGGAGACCCGGAAGAAGCTCCTGGTTCCTGGCTTGGATCCGTGCAGCTGCTGCCAATTGAGGCAAGTTGGAGAGCAAACTAGTGGATGGAAGACCTCTCCATCTCTCCCTCTCTCCCTCTCTCCCTCTCTCTCTCTCTCCCTCTTTCTCTCTAGGTAACTTTGACTTTAAATAAATAATAACTATTTTTTAAAAAATGAGAATAATCAAGCAGATTCGCTGCACCTTGTCTGCTAACCCATGTGCTTCTGCCTGAAAGCTGGACCCAGACCCAGCCAAGCTCCTGGGCCAGAACTGTCCAGATTGGTGCCCACTAGCCTCTGTGCCCACATAAACAGAAATCTAAGGGGCAACACTGTGGCACAGCTGGTTAAGCCGCTGCTTGCAATGCCGGCATCCATGTGGGCACCAGTCCACGTCCTGGCTGCTCCACTTCCAATCCAGCTCCCTGCTAACTCACATGGGAGAGCAGCTTGGGCCCTTGCACCCACGGGGGAGACCCAAGTGCAGCTCCTGGCTCCTGGCTTTGGCCTGGCCCAGCCCCAGCAGTTTCAGACATTCGGGGAGTGAACCAGCAGATGGATGGAATGTCTCCCTCTGTCTCTCACTCCCTCTCTGTAATTCTGCCTTTCAAATAAATAAGTCCTTTTTTAAAAAAAAAAAAAGGTGAATTTAGATGAATCAAGTTAAATTTAAAGTTAAGTTCCTCGGTCATACTAGCCGCATGTGCAGCAACGCTCAGGAGCCGCACGTGGACACTGTACAGGACGGCGCTGATGTAGATGTTTCCATGGTTACAGACAGTACCGCTGATGGCCCTGGCCAGTGGGAAGAAACACCAAGAACAGGAGAACAACTGAATGACAGCACAGGATGCAACCAGCCAGAGTCGGAGCAGGGCGGCTGCGGACGGATGCACCCATTTCTGCCACACATCCTGGGACTGAAGCAAGAATGGAACAGGAGCTGTTATAAAAATCAATCCCAACAGCAAACGGCAATGCGGAGACCTAGCCTGCATATTAATCACAGCATCACTGTGTCTTTCAAACAACCCAGAGAGTCTCAAGATGGCCCAGGTATTAGAAGAAATGACAGAGTTACAGTTAATGTCTTAGTTACGATAACGGGACGCTAGTTATGTCTTTTTAGAAGCTCTTATCAGAGATGACAGTGAAGTTTCTATAGCGAAAATGACCACACACACACACACACACACACACACAGGAGGGCACTTCACAAAGCTCATGGAGAAATGGAATTAAAGATTAGTTTACTTCAGTGCAGAAAAATTTAAATCCTTGCAACAAAGGGTCTTCTAAAGTTTATGAAAATTGTCTTCTGAAAAAAATTATGCATAGATTTCAGACACATGTACATGTTCACTTTATCACATTACAGTAAAGTAACAGTGTCGGTCATTGCTGACATGGACAAGGGGCACGCACGGTCCCCGTGCTCTTCTGCCCGCTGTTGTCCGGTGTGGAAATGTCCGAGGTGAGAAGTGTGGAGGAACTCACCAGGCAGGAGCTGCCCCCGCGGTGAGGCAGTGGAACAGGGCGATGCAGGCCCGGGCAGAGCTGGCCGCCTGAGCCGCCTTTGCTTCCACAGCCCCGAGAAGGCTCCGGAATGAGCCCTGCCTGACCCGTCTCCCCTTGGCCAGGAGCTGCTCCACGACCTCCTGCCCTGGCCCAGCCCGGCCTCATCTCAGGCCTCCCTCCCAGCCTGGCCGCCCTCTCCAGCCCTGCCGGGGGCCAGTCCCAGGGTGGGGTGGACGCAGCCCAGGCTAACCTGCAGGCCAGCCGGCATAGGAAACGACACAGCTGGTGCTGGCGTCCGCAGGACACTCAGAGACAACACTGCCATCACAGGAGGAATCAAATGAGGAGCACTGCGGACAGTCCAGGGACCCTGCGGAGACAAAAGAGCCCACGTGGCTCCACATCTGGTGACACAGAGCAGAGACCACGCCCACCTCAGGGTGAAGGAGGATGAAGTCCCCGCCTTCTGGGGACCCCAAGACAGATAGGACAAGGAGCTCCAATCTGTTCACCATCCCACAGGCGGGGCCGCCTCAAGGCAGGGAGCACGGGGAGCCTCGCACACCCACGGGCCACTGCCTGAGAGGACCCGGGCACCCAGGAAGCTCCTGGTGATGCCCACCCCTCCTGTCACCCACCCCCTCCTGTCACCCACTGGACGCCCACCCCTCTTGTAACACCCAATGCCCACCCCCTCCTATCACCCACCCGACGCACCCCCTCCTGTCATCCCCCTCCTGTCATCCCCCTCCTGTCACCCCCCCTCCTGTCACCCCCCCCTCCTGTCACCCCCCCTCCTGTCACCCCCCCTCCTGTCACCCACCCCCTCCTGTCTCCCGCACTGCGGCCCCCACAGCTTCTCTCACCTCCGGGGGCCACAGCGAGCGCTGCGAGGAGACCGAGGACCAGGATGCCCTTCATGGTGCTGGAGCTGAGCCTCCTGAGGGCGGGGCCACGAGCCTGGAGCCTGGAGGGACAGGGGAGGCAGCCGGGGCTGGCGGGGGCCTGTCGCCCTCAGGGGTGCAGACAGGAGCACAGAGCCCGACACCCATCCACCCTGCTCTCACGTGCGCCGGGAGCTCCCGGCCTCCACAGCTGCTGAGGCATCGCGCCCATGTGAGACCCAGCCGGGGCACGGCCCGTGGAGCCACTCGGGTGTGACGTGGGCAGGCGACTGACCCCTGGCCCTGTCCTCAGGGTCTGTCTTCAGCTGGGATCTCCCCACTGCACTCACTCGGCACTCAGCAGCTCTGTCCCCACCACCACAGGCACCCACCTCCTGAGCACTGACTGCTTCCAACACGAGACACCCACCCCCTCCTGACACCCACCTGTCCACCTCCTCCTGACACCCACCCACGCCCTCCTGTCACCCACCCGACACCCACCACCTCCTGTCACCCACCTGTCCACCCCCTCCTGTCACCCACCCGACGCCCACCACCTCCTGTCATCCACCCATCGTCCACCAACCCCCTTCTCTCACCTACCTGTCCACCACCTGCTGTCAACCACCTGACCCACCACCCCCTCCTGTCATCCACCTGATGCCCACCACCTCCTGTCATCCACCCGATGCCTACCCCCTCCTGTCACCCACCCAACACCCCTACCTCCTGTCAACCACCCTGCATGTGATACCTTATGTAATTCACCCACAGGAGCAGGCAGGGACTTATGCTCATCAGGGCAGAAATCAAACCCGAGGAGCATCACTAAGACACTCCAAGATCTGGCCCAGGTCCCTCACTGGGACCCCACACCGTCTCCAGCAGAGGGCAGCTGCCAGATCCAGGCCAGGTCACAGGCGGCTGCACAGCTGGGTCTGAGGCCCCCTCAAGCGGCCTGGGCATCAGAGCAGCGGGGAGAGCAGGCGGCCGGCCCTGCAGTGCTCTGCCTCGTTATTCATTTACCCCATAAATTTGTCACAAGAAACACAGAGATATTCAAGGTCAAGTTCATCGACACTACATGGGAAGCTCTGTTTCCCATGGCACAGGTCACATTCCCAGGGCTCAGGAGTCACTGTGTGGGGTGGGCAGGGGCACCCAGCACCCCCACCACTGCAGAAAGCCCCCTGGCTGCTGCCGCCCTTGGGCTGCTCGTCCCGCCCCGCAGGTGAGGAAGCCACAGTGTGGAGGGAGAGCCACTGCCACACACCCAGCTGTGCTGCTCCCACATCCCGGGCCCAGTGTGACCAGGACAGCTGTGCCCCTCTGGAGAGGAGCCCACCTTCCCTGGGGAGCTGCAAGCCCCTCCCACCTCACCATGCACACCCACACCACAGACACATGCCCCACCACACACTCACATCATACCACACCACACATGCACACACCACATACATCACATCTACATATGCATGCACACATGCATGACACACACGTCACACACAACACACAGCAAACAACACAATCAGAAAACACAACACACTTGCACACATAACACCACACACACAGTTGCCTTCTATACATACAGGCCACACATGCACATCATACAAGATGCCACACATGTCACACCACACATTTATCTAAATATATGCAACACATACCTACATATGCATACCAATCATGTATGACCACATGTCACACACGACACACACAAAACACATCAATCACATCACACAACACCCAGCAGACACTCATCACATGTACATGCACATATAGGCCACACATGCAAATCATACAATGTGCCACACACGCCACACCACATGGATCACAAAACACATCGAACATATGCCACCATGCTACACATGCACCTGACACACATGCATGCCACAAACATATTACAAAAAACACACAGCAAACAACACAATCACATCCCGCAACACTCACCACACATGCACACCATATCACACACACACATGTGCATGCTATACACACAGGCCACACATGCAATCACACAACATGCCACAGCACACATTAACATCATACCATACATGCACACCACACCACATATACCACATGCACATATACCACATGCACATCTATATATGCATGACACAAATGCATGACACACAAGTCACACACAACACAAAACACCAATAACAACCACCACTCATGCACTACCACATCAGACTCATTGCATGCACATGCACATACAGACATATCACACAACATGCCACATATGCCACACCACACAGATCACACACATCACATATATGCCACACGTACCACACATGCACATGCCACACCACACCATAAACACAACACACATGCTAAACCACACACAAATCACACATCGTGCCATGCACTCATCACATATCACACATAGGTACATGCTACACAACACAGCCAACACATACCACAATCACCACACACATCCACACATGCTACATCCATCCACACACACACCACACACCACAGCTGTGCCCTACACTTTATACACAGCCACACACCTGCTGCTCATACTGCACCGTGACCCTGACTCACTGATGGTTAGGGCAGAGGAAAGGCCCAGCCCATCAGCAGGAGGTGCCCTTTGTCCCCCACAGGACACCCACCCTCGTGGGGATCCTGGAGAGAGCACAGCACACGTGGTCAGTCTGTGGCCAGGCCATGCCCTGGCATTTCCAAGCCAGCCCCACTCCAGGCCTCTGCAGCCTCGTCTGAGTGCAGGAGACCTGAGCACACTGAGTGGGCTTCCAGCCTACAGAGGGCACAGGGCGTGTCCCTCAGGTGCGCACCTGCTCATCAGCCTCATCCTCAGAGGCCCGAGGGCCACACAAAGCCCAGGGCACACGGCCAACACGCAGACAGAGGTGACCGTGTGGTGGGACCCAGGGGCCCTGACGGCCACCCCATGAGCGAGGAGTACGGGGTTGCTGCAGGTCATAGCAAGGCCCTTTGGAGGTGAGAAGAATGCCTTCCCACCACCAACTGCATCACCGAGCTCTCCCACAACCCGGCAGGGCCCTACCATGACGCAGGCTGGCGTCTCCCACACAGGGGAGTGTGGCTCAGGGGCTGTGAGGATGTAGCACCCACAGAGCCGCCCGTAGAGATGGCACACACACATATACAAACACAAACACGGGTACATATGGACAGCACACATGGCACAAACAGCATACCAGGGCGGCACACATGCTTAGCATACAAGGCACACACAGATATAACACACAGGTGGCACACGGTGCACAGTTAAATGACACACAAACCACATCCCAGCCCACACCCTCCCGCCCCTCCAGCTCCCAATCTCCGGAGCTGGTAACAGCAGAGCACAGGCCAGAACACAAGCCATGAGAATGACCAGTCTGAGCCCAGCCGGACAGGACCTGAGCCGGCCCTGGGTGCCCATCCTGGGTCTCAGCTTCCCCCAGGCTCAGCCCCAGCCATGCAGCCCCTCACCTGCTGATCCCACCAGAGACACTCCCAGGCCAGGTGAGTCTGTGGAGGTACAGGGGTGTGAGGACCTTATATAGCCAGTGGCCACAGTCAGAAAGGGCGCTGCCTTCTGGGGAGGGGCCTCTCACATCCAGACTATGCCCTGCCCACCTGAAGGGACATGGGCAGCTTAACCCTTTGCCAGCTGTGTCCTGTGCCCTCGGAGACCTGAGAGCAGAGGGATTCCAGCAACACTCGTCAAAGCGAGCTGCGGCCAACGGGCCAGGGAGGAGGTGTGAGGCTGGCAGCACCCACTGTGTGCTGTGGCCCAGGAAGCGGTCCCACAGCCAGTTCAGGCCTCCCAGAGCAGCCCCAGGTACAGGAGAGAAACGTGGGAGGGTCCAGGTGGCACCCACAGGGGCAGCTGGAACTCAGAACCCAGCTCCAGAACGGGTCAGGTCCCCTGGGGCAGGAGTCCTTGCCTCTCTGGTTCAGGGTCCCCGCCCTCCCCGGGGTCCCACAAGCCCATGTGGAGCTGACAGCCCCAGGAGGCGGGACGGAAGGACAGGCTGATGGGGTCAGCGCTGGGCTCAACACAAACACGCCCCAGATCAGCAGGGAGTCCTGCTCTGCACCTGTCAGTGCCTGGTCCACCCCGTCCCGTACTCTCTGGGCCCGAGCTCCTGCTCCGTGAACGCAACACCAGGCACTACAGAGACCTGCTGAGAGTTTCTCTCTCCTGGACTCCCATCCCATCCCACACAGGGTCCCAAGGCGAACTTTCAATAGTGGCACATGGAGCTGCTCCCAGGTGGGGCCCCGGGGACCACTGGTCACCAGGGACACTGTGGACTCTGGCAGCCTTGACCCCCCCCGCCCCCGTCCAGGGCCTGGGAACGGTGCAGATGAGGATGGCAGGCCCTCCACCCAGAACACAGGCCAGGGAGGCCCCGTGGTCACCCTTCCCCCACAGAGCCTCGGGCACCTGGCCCCAGTCCAACCGCCTGCTGTCCTGCAGAGGCTTGGCCACAGCAAGCCAGCACTCAGTGGGTCAGAGTCCGCCTGGGAGTGAGCCTGGAGCCACGGTGGGGAGTGGGCTTGTCCAGCAGAGTCCGGACATGGTGGTCAGGGGGGTCTACCCCATTTCAGAGCAAAGGGGGAGAGGGTGCAGGGTGGGGCGGGGCACCCAGAGGAGGAATCCCGCCTGCAGCAGGGGTCCAGGCCCAGAACTCACAGAAGGTCCCATGGCCGACATGCAGCCTGCCCACATGCTGCTGGGTTTCCTCTGGAAACTTCCATTCAGGGGCTCATTCCTCCAGCTCAGCAACATAAGATCCAGCTACAGTGCAGTTACGGTGCCTGAGACTCCCAACCCGGCCACATCAAGGAGTAAATGTGTGAGCCTGACAGACAAACTTGTAGCAGTGCCCGGCTGTACAAGGTGCCTGCCTGTCCCAGGCTCAGTGTACCCTGTACAAGGTGTTGGCCTGTCCCAGGCTCAGTGCAAAGCTGTACAAGGTGAATGCCTGTTCCTGTTCAGTGCCCAGCTGTACAAGGTGTGGGACCGTCCCTGGCTCAAGTGCACCTGTCCCTGGCTCAGTGTATGGCTGTCTCAGGCTCAGAGCCTGGCAGTACAAGTTGTGTGCCTGTCCCGGCTTGGTGCCCGGCTGTACAAGGTATGAGCCTGGCCCTGGCTCAGTGCCTGCCTGTACAAGGTGAGTGCCTGTCCCTGATCAGTGCCCGGCAGTACAAGGTGTGGGAATGTCCCTGGCTCAAGTGCACCTGTCCCTGGCTCAGTGCACACCTCTCCCGGGCTCACTGCCCGGATGTTCAAGGTATGTGCCTGTACTGGACTCCCCATTCTTCACACAAGATGAGCACCACCACCCACCTCTGAAGCGCTGTTCTGACTGGGAAGGCACACAGTCTGTAGCCATCAGTCACTCGGGGCTCCACGAACACTGCTTCCCCGTCCACAGCCCCCACTCCTGAGCCCTGGGCTCCTGCACAGCCGCACAGGGCCTGGTGGAGGGACAGGACCGAGGGGATTAAAGCCAGGGACACGCAATGAGGGCTGCACCGGGAACCTGTGGGTCTCCCCACTCACTGTCCAGAGAGAGAAACGAGGCCAGCACCCAGCCCCCCTGCCGGCCCTGGCCTGGCTATGGGACGCGGCCTCACCTTGGGCAGGTGGACATGTCTGCACTCAGTGTACTGACCCAAGAGCAAGTGACGGCTTCCACAGCCAATGCACTGCACAGACTCAGAGTGTTGGGGCTGTTGGCCACTTGAAGAAGTTGAACCAAAACATCCACTTGAAGTCTTGCAACTGCCCCATTCCTTGGAGCAAGCCATTTTAGTACCAAAAACAACAACAACAACAAAGACTAAGAAGAAAGGATACAATGTTCTTTGCACAGAACCAAGGAAATTCTGCTGTGAGGGTCATTGCCCAGGTCACGGTCACGGTCCATCAGCTGGGCTTCTTTGGTGGCAGCCACAGGTGTGGTGACCACGCGAGTTCATCTCAGAAGATGTTTGACACAGCAATTTCCCCAAATTCTCCCGGCGTCAAGCACACAGCAGGGTTGGAGAACGGCTGCACCCCTCACTGTCTGTGCGACCTGCTGCCGCGGAGCTGACCCGGGCTGCGGAGGGCGGCAGGGCAGCAGATGTGCCAGCCTCACTCCCGACTCTGCCAGAACAAATGGACAGCAGCGCTCAGGAAATGAGGTCATGGCGGAGGCGATGCCATCCACGCTGTGTGACAGTCACAGCTGGAGGAGGGGACTCCACACAGCGGGAAGCCCCTGACTGAACTGAGCCATCTCTCTGCTGTTTTTTTTAGGGTTAATAATGACGTAGTCATTGGGTTTCGTGTGGGAATCATGGACATCTATGTAAGTGAATTTGTTGTTCCTTGTAAAAAAAAATGAGTTAGGAGAGGACTGGAGAAGTAAGAGGGAATCTCCTAAAATCTGTCCAGAGCACAATGCCATGAGGACCATGAGTGATGAGGAGTGGCACCCACAGCCCCCCGCCTCACCCAGGAGTGTGTGATGAGAACGGTAGGTGCGTAGTTAATATCACAGCAAGTGGATGGGTGGACAAGCACTGCCGTTCTGACAAAGGTTAGGACATCACACCCCTGCTTGGACACGTAGAACACAGGGACAGGAACTCTTACATCAGGCATGGAATAGGTCCTGTAAACATGGCTGTGGGAGTGTGATTTACCTGAGAAACATAGGATATAATCATTGGAACTTTCTCTTTACAGTTATAACCTGGTAAATAAATCCTTAACCTTGGACTTTTTATTTATCACCTTTAGATAAGTTAAGCAAGTTTCATAGAACTGACACATCCATTATCAACAGAAAAAAGATTAATGGACGTTTACAACGAGGCCATGGAAGGAAAATGAAGCAAAACAAGATAACAGAGAAAGGTTATGCACAGATGGTCCCTGTGATGTGTTCTTTCTCAGAGAGAATGGAGGCTTAGGAGGAAGAAAGCTTAATGAGAACTATGTGTAAAGAGAGTGTAAAATAAAGCCATGAGATGAACAGCAGAACGAGGCCTCCCCTTGCTCCCTAAACCACGACTCCTCGTCTCCTTTCTTCACCAACGCCTCCCCTCCTCAGGACCCCCTGGACCTGCCGAGGCTGCACCGCAGCGGTGTCAGGGAAAGGCAGGTCAAAACCGCAGTTCAGGACGGCCATTCTTGGGCCGGTGTGATGGCGCGGCAGGCTAAGCCTCTGCTTGCAATGTGGGCACCCACGGTGCAGCACTAGCTGAGCCCCAGCTGTTCAGTTAGGATCCAGCTCCCTGCTCATGGCCTAGGAAAGCAGTGAGGATGACCCAAGTGCTTGGGTCCTGCCACCCACGTGGGAGACCCAGATGGCCCTGGCTACTGTGGCATTAGTGGAGTGAACCAGTGGATAGAAGATATCTGTGTTTCTGTATCCATGTCTATGTGTGTGTGTGTCTGTTGCACTCTGACTTTCAAATAAATAATCTTTAAAAAGGATGGCTAGGGGCCGGTACTAGGGCAAAGTAGGCTAAGCCTCTGCCTGCCTGTGAACCAGCATCCCAAATGTGTACCGGTTTGTGTCCCTGGCCACTCGTCTTCCACTCCAGTTCTCTGCTGTGGCCTGGGAAAGCAGTAGAAGATGGCCCGAGTGCGTGGGCCCCTGCACCCACGTGGGAGATCTGGAAAGAGCTCCTGGCTCCTGACTTCAGGTCAGCTGACCTCTGGCTGTTGTGGCCACTAGGGAGTGAACCAGTGGATGGAAGATCTCTATGTCGCTCTCTGCCTCTCCTTCACTCTCCTGTAAATCTGACTTTAAATTTAAACAAATAAACCTTTAAAAAATGACCTTCACCAAACCAACAAAAGACATTTATGGAAAATGTTAACAAAATGGGGCAGATCTTATCTGTGCCAGATGTACATCCTGGACACCATCCCAGGCTCTGACCCTGCTGCCTTTGCTAGAAGCCAGGTGACCAGATGGCCCAACCACAGGTGTCAGGGTCACACCCACTCCAGTGGGATTTGCTGTTCCTATATCCCTGCCCCCCATAAAGGTATAGTAGGACCTGCTGCTCAAACGCGTGCTCTCTCTGGATCTCTCCACCTCCCCCTCTCTTATTCTCTCACCCTCCCCCCACCCATTGGGCTTCCCCCACTTGACAACAAACCTTTCCCTTAACCCCGTGCCTGGTGTGTTTTGTGGGGCCTCACAGACACCCACAGGTAACAACGCACACTGGAGACACATGGAAGCTCTCAGTACCAAGGAGGCTGTGATCCTCGGGACAGCGGCACAGCGAGTTACAGAAGACGCCCAAGTCTCAGGGCCGTAGACAGCAGCTGCACAGGGGGCTTGTGTTCTCCAAATCATGTGGCCTCCATGGCGCTCAGGGATGAGATTACAAAGGCAAAAGCCACATCTGCTGGGAGTTCATTACAAAGCCAAGTTAATTCCAGAAGCCAGAACAAGCCAGGTTAATCACCCTTATCTCAGGGGGAATAGAACACACCATCCCAGCACTTCATGTAAACACCGAGTGATAAATTCATG